TGCCCGCGGCGCGGTCCCCGCCACAGTAGTGCGCAGCGCGCCGCCTCGGCCGGCCTTGGGCAGCTCATTTTTGGGGCCTGGGAGTGGGTGGAGGAAGCCGAGGAGGAGGGCTCGGGGAGGGGGCACCATGGCCAGTGGCAGCGGGCAGGGGAGCGAGGAGGACGAGGAAGCGCTGAAGAAGTTGATAGTGAGGCTGAACAATGTCCAGGAAGGAAAACAGATAGAAACGCTGGTCCAAATCCTGGAGGATATGCTGGTGTTCACGTACGCCGACCACGGTAACCCTCAGCAAGGAGACGGCTCCTTTTTCTCCCCCCTCCTCCCCACTTTGCAAACTTTCTCGGGCAGGGGAGCGAGGAGGACGAGGAAGCGCTGAAGAAGTTGATAGTGAGGCTGAACAATGTCCAGGAAGGAAAACAGATAGAAACGCTGGTCCAAATCCTGGAGGATATGCTGGTGTTCACGTACGCCGACCACGGTAACCCTCAGCAAGGAGACGGCTCCTTTTTCTCCCCCCTCCTCCCCACTTTGCAAACTTTCTCCTCTGCCTTTTGGAGTTACTCAAACCCCGAGCCTTGAGAAGCTGCAAACTCCCTTAAGAATTTCCCTGGGAGCCCTTTGGGGGCAGAGAGGAGCCGAGAATCTCCGCAAGAGCTTGCGCTCAGCTCCTGGGCTTTTCTCCCCTTTTCAGAGTTAGAGGGGGGCCGTGGGTCATGACTTTGCTTCTTTCCCCCCACCCCCTCTTTTCCAGCCTCCAAGTTATTTCAAGGCAAAAATGTCCACGTGCCTCTGTTGATCGTCTTGGACTCTTACATGAGAGTCGCGAGCGTGCAGCAGGTAAAGCAGTTTTCGCTTCACTCACTTTTTCTTCCGCTTGGGAAGGACAGTCTCCTGTCAGTGTTCCAGGCGCGTCTGGCTATTCCTGCGATTTGGCTTGATGAACCGCTGGTTGTGATTTTAAGATGGACGTGTGGTCAAATCAGTAACCATTGTTCCCAGGATAAAAGGGTCCATGACACGTCTTTGGTTTGTAACGTTACAAAACTGACAACAGGAGAGGTGGTAGAAGGGGATGAAAATAGGTTGAAGTTTAGTTCTGTTATTGGCAAGACGTGTTCATTAGCATTGAGATCAAATTATTCAAGAATCTTCCCTACGTACAGCATGTCCTGGCTATGATACCATTATGAATAAATTGGGAAAAGGGAATAATTAACAATAACAAAACCCAAGAAACGGGCAAACTCGTAGGTTTCACTCTTTTTTTTGTTATTTTTTACTTCAAAGACAGATTTCTATCCTTTAATTATATTATAGTATCTGAAGTAGGTGGTGTTTTATGATTCACCTATATGTCTAAACTTATAGTTCGCAACAACGGTCATATAAATGAATTTAAGAGTGAAACTTTGAGAATTTGTATGTTAGGAAACTCAGAAATGTGATAAAGACCATGAGTTATATTTTTAAAAATGAAGTCCTAAGGTGATAATTAAGAATGGTTTACTGGGGCCTGGACAGGGTGCATGCAGTGGGAATGCTCTCCAGGTCTGACCCACACTGGAAGGTCAGAAGGTCCTGTCTGGAGAAGTCTCTGAACCCACCAGGCTCATGATCTGGGGCTGACTGAGGCTGGGGTGGATCTTAGGGTGAAGACCTTGTTTGGGAGTCCCTGCCATTCTGTTTGTCTTGATCTCTCCGTCTGTGTATCTTGCTGATGAAAGAAAGAAAGAAACTTACAAACAATGATGTAGTCAAAACAAGGTTACTGCCTAAGGTGATAACTTCTTTTGGAGCATTTTGAGATTTGGAGAACTGAAATCAGTTTTGTCATGTGCATGTTAAGTCATGCAGGGGAAGAAAATTGGATTTTGAACTCTGTGGAAGCACAGACAGCTGACGTTTCTTAATACTTCCTGGAGAACCTACACAGATGGACACATTACCTCCATCTCTAAATTGGTGTCTGTCTTTATGCTTATCTTATATCTATATCTAGTCTGGGCGAACCATGTACCTGGTTTCTTTAATAGAAGGACATTTTGTTTTTGGAATATTTTAATATTTTCAACTGTGGACTGCTTTCCATTTGACTACCAATGTTCAGGCGGCTATCAAATCAAACCATGGAAAGATGGAGGCATGATAAAGACGCTAGTCTTTTTTCCACTAAGTCTGAATTTTGCCCATGGCCTATGAGTCACTTTTTGCTGGCTGCTCTCCCTCACATTATTCCTCCTCTCTTGCCTCCATTTTGTGTTCAAAAGTGCTCAATTCTGGCAGCCTCCTTTCCCAAGAGTCACCACTACTTGATGGCTGGATCCTCGATAGGATTTGTTTTTCATTGTCCGGAAGAGAGAGTGCTTCAAAACCCAAGGGAGTCTGTAACATACCCACCCCCTTACGATTTATTATTTTTTCCTAAATTGCCAGAGGACACGTATGCTCACATGCAAGAGGAGAGAGAGAGAGAAAGCATCCCTCAAAGGGGTGTGCTCATGTCTCTATTCCTTTTCCTCCGTTTCTCCATTCCATGTGTCTAGTGCATTTTGTCAAGCCTCCAGTTGGGATTCCAACAGTATTTGACCATGAGAGGAATGGCTCCCATTGTGCAGCACTCTGTGCTGTGGGGTTGGCATTTACTACCTAGTTCTTAATTTTAGGACTTCCCAAGCCTGGGCACACCTGTCTGGAGGAGTCGTGACTATCACCCAGTATTGTTGAGGGATACTAGAGAAAAGTATACTGAAAAATAAGGAATAGTCTTTTAACGGAATAGACTGATTAGATTTGGCACCATATATGTATACGTCTGCAAGTGGCATTACGCTTATGAATTACAGCATGTGATTTCTAGTGGAAGCTTACTGGACCTTTCACCTGTGCAGTAGCTTAGTGAGAGAAAGTAGTTCATTGAGATCACAGGACCAGTCTTCTCACATCCAGT